TAGACAACCAGCTGAATATTGGATTTAAATGTTAGTTGGAGCTGCTTGAGAAATGTGTTAAGCTTGGCTTACACACATAGAGACAGTTGTTCATGCAACATGCAAGCTTGCAACAGCTGTTAAAAATATTAAACTTAATAATTAATGCTGCTCGCATGAACTAGTTCATTCAGTTGTCGTTCTCGTTTCTCGTGCTTAACTCAAAAATGTCATCGTCTTGCTAAATAGTTGAGGATCTAAATGCAGTAGCTGCAACTGCCTGTGGCATGCCACAGCCAGCAACTGCAAAAAACACTCCCCTCTTGCGAAATTCATGTTTTTTTTTTCTTTTCTTCTTTTTTCTTTTTTTTTTGCACGCAACTTTCCGTTGCGTTGAGTTTTGAGTTGCGCTTAGTTCAGTTCAGTTCAGTTCAGTTCAGTTCATCGGCTGTTGCACTTTGGCTGCATCCGCTGCCCTTGCAACTGCCCTCTCCTCGATTTTGGGGCATGTGTTCGTTGCGGCTTTATCAGATGTTGACATTTTTATTCTTTTTTTCTTTTCATTTTTTTTTTGTTTTTTGCGGAACCACACTTGAGTTCATTTGCAATAATTGGTTTTTCTTGTTGTCTTCGCCTGTCGCTTGGGGGGCACCCGCCGCGTTGCCCCTTTTGCCCCACCCCCTACAGGGTGGTGTTGTGAAATTTTTGACATATTTTCCAGCAAGACTGTTCCTCTGTAACTGTCGTCCATTATACAAAGTGCGAGGTTAATGGACACATTAATATCTGTGTGTGTTTGTATTCAAGAGTCAAGGCGCGGCACGTATTGCACACAATTCTCTAAGCACCCCCCTCTCTCTCTCTCACTCTCTCTCTCTCTCTCTGTTTACTCGTGTCTTTTTTGTGCATTTCCAAACTGCTCCAGGGAATAACCAAGTACTACAATATAATCGCACGTCAATCAATCGACACACATTTCACGCGTGGCCCACATTGTCGGAGGAGGCTATGGGGCAGCACCTGTCAAATGGACAGAATGTTGAAAGTGAAAAGTATGCTTCGTAGAGAATGGCAGAAGAGTGCTCTTTTTACAGAATTGTCCAACTCTTATTTTCTATTTTAAGCTTAAATATGAAGAGGGAAAGCAAAGAACACATAAATAACAAAGCGAAAGAACAGACAGACTGGGTTTGACTGGACTTGATTAGAAGTAAGAATTATTATTATGATCTATGTTCATCACAGAATGACTTTACTTCGAGTTCTCTTAATTAGTTCTTATTAGAATACTTTAATTATTCTACTACCACATTATATAGATTATATATATATATATCTATCCATAAAGAACAGAAGTCGCCAAAAAAACATTTCAAATGAAGTCATCTAGCTAAAAGAGGCTCGCTGCTCATAACCAAAACATCAACAGATGAATGTATTCATTAAGGGCAGAGACAAGAGGCGGGAAGGGGGATAATGCAGGGAGTACAGCTCCTCTTTGTGATTTTGAATGATGTCTATTTTCAAAGTAAATGTTGCAAAGCAAATGGAATATCTTGCAGCAAATGTGCCGTAAATTAAGGAGAAAAAATGAGAACAGAAAAGACCCCCAGCGAACTTGTGTGTCGAACCAATTGTCAGTCCATCAGTCCGTCAGTCAATCCGTCGCTGAATATCTTCAGGCAGTGAGTTGGGAAATCTTTGGTCTGGTGCGGCCTTCAAGTGAGCTGCCATTCAAAACTAAACCAACTGTCCAACTGTCCAACTGTCCATCTATTTCAATCAGCCTGCCAAGTGAACTGTGTACGATCTGCGATCTGCGATCTGCGATCTGTGTGATCTGTTTAATTGCCAGGATTAGTCAGGAAGTGGTAATGCCAACTAGCACCATTTCCCCGCTAATGTTGCGACGTTGCGGCTCAGCGCAATTTCCGCCTTGCCACATGCAACAAGCAACTTGCAACGCACAACTGTCGCCGATAAATTTAACTGCAACTGCTTCAGCCTGCCAGCGAATGCCAAAAAAAACCGACCATAAAAACCGAGCGGACTGCAAAAAAAAAAAAAAAAAAAACACAAAAAAAAACACCCAAAATAGTTTTTAATGATTTCCAACACCTACCCCACTCCCGGCGGGCTGCCCGCCTCCTGCAGCAGTTGGCAGCAGTCGCCTCTTTAAACGGAACTGCAAATGGCACCGCGAATTTGCCCGTCAATTTGCAATTTCCTAATGAAGTCACCCAGAAAGTTTTGTCACCCGCAACAAATGTGCAACAAAATTAAAGGGGGAACGCAGCGGAGCGGAGTGGAATGGAACAGATTCGTGTTTAATCCCATATAAAAGAATACTTATCTATGTATTTATACTTGAGCAGCAACTAGAGTTAATAAATTAAACATAAATATATTTAAAATTGTATTTTCAGTTGCGTATATTGAATATATACAGAAAATCACAATATTTGCACGTGTTTTGCTTTCGATATAAGGCCAAGGAATGGAGAAGAGAATATTTGATAAAATCTAAAAATAAAATTAAAAGAATCAATGAATAGCCTTCAATGGTGTCTCAACCGACAAACCGATTCTGATTCTGATTCTGGTTGAATGGCCAGAATTGAATGTTGGGAAAAAAATATAAATTTGTTTTAGTCTCAAACTGAAACTGATTTCCGCTCGACAAATCCGATGAATTATGTCGAAAATACAACGGCAGTAATAAAAACAAAATAAAAGAAATGAAAATGAAAAACTTATAGCGATGCCGCTAACCGAAATCAAAATAAAAATTCATACAAAAATAGCAAAAAAAAAAAAAACAGAAAAACGGACTCCAAAAGCCAAAGAATTGTAGATATAGAAATGTAAAATGTGAAATGACATCAAAGCGAAATGTGTAAAGTGGGCAAAAAAAAAGATGTATATATATATATATATATATATATAAACAGAAAAAGAAAAGCACAGCAAGTAGATGAAGAAGAAGCGGCCAAGTGCCAGCAGACGCAGGCAACATAATGTGCAACCAAAAGCGGCACTAACATATAAGAAATTGGCAAAAAAAAAAAACAGACCCAAAAAAAAAGCTAAACACATTCAATAAAAATAACTGAAATACGCAAAAACAAACGCTTTATGTATAAACATATAAATCAATATGTACATTTATATATACAATACCAAAAGACAAGTACATCTGTGTACGTAGATACGCATCTAGGCAAATGTATCTGCAAGATACATTTGTTGTTGTGCTTGGCAAATGAGGCGAAACGCACCAAATCTCAACGCTACGTTTTTTAGCTTCTCCGCCCTTGTCTTTGCTTTTTCTAGTTTTGTTTTCTTTTTTGCTTTTTGGTTTTTGTTGTATTTTTTATTTTCTTTTTATTTTTTTGCCTAATTATTGCTTTTGTTTTTCCGACTCGGGCGCGGGCATTAGGAAAAACTTTATGCGCCATTGAAGCGTTCGAAAATAAAAGTCGCGTCCGCTGTGGTCGCCGTTTGCGTCAAAGTTAAGGCACATGTGTGTGTGTGTGTGTGTGTGTGTGTGTGTGTGTGTGTAGTTGAGGTGTGCGTCTGTTCTGGCCGCACATGTTCGCGGCAAATGCGGCAATTGTAGCCCATTGCGTATACGCCAGCATGTCCCGCAAAAAAACAACAACGAAACTTGCAAGCCGAAACCCTCGGCAAGAACTAGAAAAGGAATACAATTCCCAATACATTACAAGAGACCAGTCAAAATCTTTTATCACATTTTGTTTATTTGCAGCAACAATTTCTTAATCACGACGTAATCCTCTGTGTATATAATTTGGTCTTGATGCTTCTTCAAATTATTCTGGCATTTTCCCATGTTTTCTAAAGTAATTATTAAAACTCTTAGTTGTGTAAGTCAAATACCTACAACATACTTTATGTAAATCGAGGTTTTTTTTGTAGCAATCTACTATTTATATTTCATTCACATTCACTATTTCATTCTTAAACGGTATGTGGACAGGTTGCATCTGTTTCTCATACAATTGTATACAATTGTTGCTCAATGAAATAAATTAGAAATTGATTTTGAGCAGGAATTCAATGTGGTTGTTGCTGCTTTTCATGCTTTTTCTCACTGTTGAGCAAGATCGATTTGGACAAGAACATATAAATCGCCGCAGTGAATTCGAGCGAATTGATGACGAAAGGGTCAAAGACATATATATGTGTATACAAAGCATAAATCCAGCAGATGGGGACTCTGCCCTTTGATTTTCATTTCACATTTTTGGCAATTGTGTGCACAGAGCAACGGAAACTTAATTACAATTTGTATAAATGCCGTGCGAGTTCTCGAAAATGCACAAGGGATCATAAATCATATCTTATTAAGCACTTAGGGGCTTAATTTAATAAATATAATGATTGTTTGTTTTAAGTTTCTCCAAAAAACATTCTTATTAAGCAATGCTGCTTGAAAACCTTTTGTTAGCATTAATTCTACAAATGGCTTAATTTGACTTCAACCGCCTTCAAACCATGTTAACATTTTAGTAATCAATGTCAAATTTGTAGGGGATAATTTGGGAATATTTTGAAGAGGACTCTTGAGGGGAAGCCGATTTATGAAACAATTCGATAGCAATTATGGGTCACATAGGGGCGGCTGCTGATGCTGTTCTCTCTTCACTGCCGGAAGGCGAAATTTCCATGGCGAAATCTGTGGGTCGCTTTGATCTTCTGGCACTACTTTTATTTGTCTTTTTTTTTTGGGTGATGCATAAGGGAAATCCTCAAAGCAAGCAAAGTTGTCCAACCCCACCGCCCCGATGCCCGTGCAACGGTCTGTTGCATCGGATTCGGTTTTTCTTGCTTGCCTTTGGCAAAAATGATGTGCGGTGATAGGGTGCAGGGGGTGCCGGTCAATGAACGTCTTTGTCTGGGCCAAAATACACCTTTGATGTTGATTTTACGCCATGCCTGATCTCCGCTCTTTATCTTCTCATTTTTAATATTTTTTGTTTTGGTTTTCTATTTTGCAGTTGAACGTGCGATGAGCCCGGCACAGTCGGAAGACTCTGGACTGGCACCGGAAAGGGGCACAACATATACAACGATCACGTTGCCACGCAATGCCCTCAATTTGGCCATCAGTTTTGCAGGTAAGTGGCAAACAAGGGGCACGGGGCGTCTTAGTTGCGAATTGACACATTCAAGTGGACTCCTAATGTGGCCCATTAGGCGAGAGCATAATTATATACCATTATAAATTATAATTATATCAGTATTGATGGCATCTGTTCTCCAATACGATAGAGGGGATTTAGATTTTTGCGATTCCACATTTCAGATTCCATTCAGATTGAAAACAGTAGCCCGCATATATATATATATATACTCAATTATTTGGCTCTTGTGTGTTTTGACAGCTGTCTGTTATAGTTGGTAAATTCTTCAAAAATTATTCTATAATTAAGTTAAATCAATTTGTAATTCGAAGGGTTGCTTTGCCTTGTTATCAGGCTAGAATTACAAATGATGGATACAGATGGAGTTATGACAAACATTTTTGTAATATTTTCATTGTAATTCTTAATTTTCATAGAATGAAGCAAGTTCAGCTTAAGCTCAGTTTGATGAACAACTTTTCGATCGCCTTAGAAAGCTTTAAGCTTTGTTTTTTTTTTTAAAATTCAATTAAATTTTTTAATATATATATATATATATATATATATATATATATATATATATTTATATTTGCTTACTCTACGTGTCCCAAATGGGTGCTCTAGAATGCTATTGTATACTGTGCTGATATTTTGAAATGTTTACAGTCTTTCGAAGAGTTAAGAGACATTTATATTTCAGCAATGAAAGTTACATAAACATTGACATTCACATAAACAAACAAACAAACAAATATTTAAATGGTGCTCCACAATGTTTATTTACGCTTTTATTTCGCTTTCTTTGTTCAATAGAAATATGTATTTTATAGATATCTGTGTATTTGATTGATACACTCAGCAAAACGCATCAACTCGCATCAAAAGCAACTAGCAAATGTATTTTTGTCAGTGTAGGACTTGGCTGTCTTTCGATATGATTTGTTTGTTGCCTGCTCTATGAACTATTGAGTCATAAGCAATTCATTAACTTGATACAAAATGGGCTGGCCTCTGTTTCAATTTGCGGTTCTTGTTTTCGGTTTTCGGTTTTCTAGTTTATTCATTTTTTGTGTGTGCTTTTTTTGTTTTTTTTTGGGAAAGTTGGGAATGGTTGGGTAGGGAGGGACGGGTAAGTGGGGTTGCGGTCGAACTGTCTTGATCTCCAGCCAAAAGTGGGCCGATACGATACGATTTGAATGCGGAACGCGTCCGCGTCGATAACCGACGGCCAAACATCGTTTGTCGTCGTTTTCATCTTCTTCTTCGTCGTCGTCGTCGTCGTCGTCGTCGTCGTCGTCGCCGCTGCCAAAATAAATCATCATTTCAATCTGCCAACGACGCCAACCCCACACCCCGCCTCCACCACCCTCGGGTTGCCATCACAGGCGTGGCGAGTCTGTCGACTGCCAGACATTATAATATATATTTCGTCTGCATCCGTAGATGCTGTCTGTTGTCTGTTGTCCGTAGTCCGTAGTCTAGAATTTTTGTTTCGTTTCCCTGACTAATCTCAACATATTGCGTTATATGGCGAGAGCTCGACAACAGATTCGCCATGCCGCATGTGGCACGCCTCTTCCACTGGTAGCTATCAGACAGAGATAGTCAGTGTCAGCTACAGAGCATAGAAGATTGCAATGGCCATAGACTGGCATTAAGCCTACACTCAGCAAAAAACACCAACACTTAAATATATATGCAATTTCCCTTAAGGCTTCTCAAGAAATATAACAAATATCTCTGATAGATATGCTTGATTTGATTTGTTTTAAAAGTTGGATAAAGATACGTCATCTGTCAGCTGAAATAATTATTGTAAAATGTTCGCTTGCATTTTGGAGATTTTCTTTTAGTTGTTTCAAGTGTAGCAGCCCAATTGCGCCAGAGCTGGACTAGACTCCTGGCTTTCAGTCATCGTTGCCGCCTGTCTGACGTAAGCGTCTTCAACATTTGCGACATGTTGGCCCCAAATGGAGGTCTTTGGGCGGGGCGGGCTGGGGCTTAATTTGTTGTTGTTTATGTTGTTGGGCTGGCAACTTGCCAACAATAGCAACTGTAGCAGTGGCATCCACACACTCACTGGCTGCGTAGTTTGTCATAACAAAAACAACATCAACAACATCAACAACAACAACAACAACAACATACAACAATCAACTCAATTCGGCCAGTCGCTTTTTAAGCATACATTTATTTACGAGTAGTTTTTGGATTGTATTTTTCTTTTTTTTGTTGCAATTTGGCCAAAAGGCGCGACTGTGTCGCATGACGAGCCGTTGACAGAATTGGTAATGGAGACCAAGGCAACAAGCAACGAGTGCCGCCAACCCAACGGGCCAAAATTGAATACGCTCAGAAACTGTGAATGTTAAGTACGATTTATTAACTGCCTAATGTTTATTTCTCTGAAATTGTTGAAGGGCGAGACTAAATTTAAAAAACGTTGCGTAAATATTAGCTGTGCTTTTTTTTATTTGTTTTTAAACTTATACTTTCCAAAGAAACAGTGATAGTAAAAACCAAACTGCAGAATAAATAAATTGGTGAAACACACTAAATAATATTTTCCACATAAAGTGGCAATTGTGGAATAAGAATGTTGATCCTGATTAAGAACATATATTTTGTATCGGAGATGCTTTGCTCTGCCTGTTACTTGCACTGATAAACCTTCATCTGTACGTAGATACGCATCTAGGCAAATGTATCTGCAAGATACATTTGTTGTTGTGCTTGGCAAATGAAGCGAAACGCACCAAATCTTAACGCTTCGTTTTTTAGCTTCTCCGCCCTTGTCTCAGCTCTTTCTAAATGCTTTTTTTTTTTTTGCTTTTTGGTTTTTTTTTTCTTTTTTGCGGGCATCAAAAAAAAAAACTTTATGCGCCATTGAAGCGTTCGAAAATAAAAGTCGCGTCCGCTGTGGTCGCCGTTTGCGTCAAAGTTAAGGCACATGTGTGTGTGTGTGTGTGTGTGTGAGTATGTGTGTGTGAGTGTGTGTGTGTAGTTGAGGTGTGCGTCTGGCCGCACATGTTCGCGGCAAATGCGGCAATTGTAGCCCATTGCGTATACGCCAGCATGTCCCGCAAAATAGAAAAACAAAGGGCAAAAAGGAATCTCCCTTAAATCGATTTCCTATAGCAATAAAACCCTTAAATCGAAAATGCATAAGCCTTGCCCTAATATTGAACGTCTATAAAAAATGATATCAAGACGTGTTTGGATTGTGCTTTATTAAACAATGTGTTTTTCAGTGCAATTGATTACAGATTGTTAAGGAACAGATCTTTCAATTCTAATTGGAAAGTATCGTCATCTATGAAGCCTGCTTTCTTCCAAATGTATAACGTGCAACATGCGGCAGACTAGTATCAGTGTGAGCACTACTTGATATGGTCAGTAGCTTTAATGCATTGCAAATTTGTTAAATTTGGTAAATATATGAAGAGCTTAAGAGAAATATAATAATAATAATAGGAGCATCTCCAGAACTACCTGTAAAGGAACTTGTTTGAGTAAATATGATATACAATTGTAATTGATGGGTATTTTGTAGTATGGGTGCGAATAAAACAAGTGTGAATAAAACAAGCAAAACATGTTTTATGCCCACATTTTTATTATGCAGGGTGTATGGAAGAATGGCTAAAAATAAGTACTACGAGTTCTCGGACTAAGATTAATGGTAGCTCATTGATAAACACCTGGCTTGCTTGTTTGGTTTCAATCTGTTAATGGAGTAAAGACTAATATTGATTTCTCAATCGCAATCCATTCACAGAGCGCAATGATCTATCCTATCCACCGGTAATTGGGGCACTCAATCCAGTGGGTCATGCTGCCGATTTTCTGCTGCCCGGCGATCGGCTCCATCAGATCGATGGCATCTCAACGATTGGCATCAGCAACCAGAAGATTATGAACATGTTGTGCTCCAGTGGAGCAGATGCGGCTCCAGCTATTGTGGAGATCGAATACTCCCTACCCGAATGCAGTAAGTGTGATTCTCAACACTTCTCTTATGCGACATTGTCTCTCTCTCTCTTACACACTCTCTATCTCTCTCTCTCTTTGTGTCTCTTGTGATTGTCTTGGCAGTTTCGCAGAATAGTTTGTATGTTACCTCGAAACTGGCACAGATCACCGTGGAGCGGGAGAGCGGCTGCCTGGGCCTAACGCTGCGAGGGGGCGGCGATTATCCGCTGATCGTGACCCACGTAAGACTGCACGGCCCCGTCTATAAGACGGGACGCATCAAGCCCGGCGATCGTCTGCTGCGCGTCGATAATGTAAGTAAAGTGAGCCCGACTACCACATACCCAGCACCCAGCAAGTCTTTCTGAGTCTATCGTAAGTGGTACACGTCTTCGATATTTAATATCTATTCTCCACCGAAATTCGAATGCACCTCGAAAAAACTGTTCAACATGATGGATGACACCTGCCTCCCATCGTGCTTGACAGTCGCTTCCGTTGTGCCATATCCGTAATGCAACTCTCTCTCTCTCTCTCTCTCTCTCTCTCTCTGCGTCTCTGTCACTCTGCGTTGCTGCATTGTTAGATCTCACTGATTGGCAAGACCCTGGTCGAGGCGCAACAGATCATTAAATGCGGCCACGTTTCCGGCTATACAAATCTCACCATCGAATATGACGTATCCGTTGTGCAGAACGTCGAGTTCTCGATGGGACCGCTAATCATCGAAATCGAGCGACCCATGAACGATAAACTGGGACTGGTGCTGTGCAACTATTCAAGCGCCGGCACCGGCTCCAGCTCGGCGGGCACAGCGACCAGCAGCAGCAGTACCGATCGTATTGACGAGATTACCCAATCGGATATATATATTGCTAGCATACTACCCGCCAGTATTGCCGATCGGTGAGTATTTCAACATAAACCGCATTTATCACTTCTTTCTAAATTAAAACATATCAAATCAATATCAATAGTTTATCGTTGTCGTAGTTCCTTTTTTACATCTTATTTAGATGGTTTGGATTTAGTTTGGGCTGATTTGAATTGCTTGCGAAGATCAGTTTAATGAAAAGTTCTAACAAACAATTGAAATTCAGAGCCAGAATAGAAATTCAAAATTTTCTAAGAACTAGTTACAGGCAGCGACCATCCTAGTTGGGACACCCGTCCATGTGTTGGAGCAGAACTTAAACAAGAATTTCAAGCTAATTTATAATTTATTTTTTAATTTTAGTTTCTAATTTGTAAAGTAAATTTTTGTAAACCCATTTTCAGTTTCACTTTTAAACACCCAAATTTTTTTAAATATTTAATTGAATAAATGTATCCATAGAAAATGTTACATTTTCCAGATGATCTTTACAAATGACCTATCCGCTAATCTTTAATCCTGACTTTACAAAATAGGAAGCGCATTCATTTAATGACATCAACTCCATAAATTGTTCAAATTGAGATGCAAGCGCAGAATTCGCATTGTATAATTTATTCTGATTCTGTTCCTATTTTTATATATTTTTTTTATTTTTTGGCTTTGCTTTTTTTTTTTTGTGTATGCAGCTGCGGCGCGTTATCAGTTGGCGATCAGGTGCTATCCATCGACGAGACAATGATTGAGAGCACGAACTACACTCCCGATGAGGTCATGACCATGTTGGACACCAGCGGACGCGGCTACACACAAATGCAGATCATGCCGGCTTATGCATTGGCGCGACGCGGTAAGTTTCACATGCCACAATACTCACTCCTTCCATGCAACACATCTATACATATATATATATATATATTTGTGTGCTAGTCTCCATCTATTATTTTATGTTTGGCTATCTAAGTGCTCCAATCGGCGGCTGCTTGTGCAACGCCAAAAGCCAAAGAAAAAGCCAAAAGAAAAAAAAAAAACAAATAATAAAGCCTTCCAAGGCGCCCATCCAAAAATGGTGCTTTGAAGGTTGCGTTGCGTGGGCGTCTGGCTAATGAACAGCAGACGTCGGCGAGATCGGCAGCAGCTAAACCAATACGTTGCGAGGGCTGCTCAATGAGTTGCCACTCAACTGAATCAACCCAAGAATATTTGATGCCATCAAACATCACTTATATATATATATATATATATATAGCCCTCGTTCAATCATGCTGAATGCCAATCAATTTGAGTTTGAGTGCGTTGAAAAGACGAATAATTTGACTTTCGGGGGCGACAATGGACGACTACTTTAGACCGTTAATTCTTGGGCCAGAGCGACAGGCAAATAAACAGCAATGAGGCGCCCTGTTGCGACACGCACACAACACACACACACACGCACAAGCACACACATGTGTGTGTTTGTATGTGTGTGACTAAGCTGTGGATTAGCTGCAGTATAAAGTGTATGAACTATTTCTCACACATGCCCATCAGAGATGGAAGCGACCTATTCCTCCTCCCACTCCCCCTTCCCTCACCCACCACATACACCCTCCTTTTGCGGACGGGGGCAAAAACGTGTGTTAAAAGCTTTTGGCCAAGTTTGGGCAGGCAGAATCTTTGCCAGGCAGGCCGTAAATAGTGGCTAAGCGACAGCTGCTCGCAGAGGGGTGTCTAAAAATAACAGCATCATTTAAAATGCACTGAAAAAAAAATACAAACAAAATAGCAAACGCGATCCGCACTTTAATTATCAGACAGGCAGGCCGACTATATATAGCAGTAATATAAATTTAATACCTTTTGTCTTAGTTTGAGTCGCAGCTTTGCTTTAATGTTTTGTGTGTTTGTGGAAAAGGTGTGTGTGTGTGGAAAAAGGTCATGTTTACATTGAAATATGGGAAAATGTGATCTCTGCGGTGGTTCTTCAAACATGTTCTGCGTAAGAGCCATGGGAAATCTTTGGGCTGACGTTCAACAAACAATGTCTGATGCCAAAGTTCGTATTATGGCTTAGCAGTCTTGAAACTGAAGATCAAAAAAAAAATAAAATAGTTTATATGTGTTAGATTGCTCATTGGGAAAGGAGATGCGGCGTGGCTTCAACTAGCAGATATATATGTATATAAATATATACTCAGGGATCAGATACTTCTCCTTCAAGAAAAAATGGAACTTTTTCTTGAAAACTTTTCAGAAACTTGCTGGAAAGAAATCCTTCTTACAAAGACAATCTAATATTAATCAATACCTTGATAGGCCAGAGACTTCTCCTGCAATGAATGATGAGGGAAAAGAGCGTAACTTTATCGTGCCACTAATTTGTGTGAGTGCATCTTGTATTGCAGGTATGACATCGCTGGGCAGCCCCAAGTATAGCTTCAGCACACTGGAATCGCGTAAATCGAGTGGCAGGCAGCAGCGACAGCGTTTCATACGCAAGAGTTCGGTGACCCTGGAGGCGAATGGAGCAACAGCCAGTCCCAGTCCCAATCTCAATCCCAATCCCAGCCTGTGCCGGGCGGAGAGTTTTCCGGTGCTGCTCGACTGTAGTCAGGGCGCTGGCATTGTGCTGGGAAATGCGAGCAGTTGCGGCCGAGCCGTGACCATTGCCCAGATACTGCCCGATTCTGTGGCGGATCGCAGCGGTTGCATGCAGTCCGGTGATCGCATTGTGGCCATCAATAAGATGTATAGCTTGGATGCGGCGGCGATGCGACAACTGCTCGAGGGTCGACCCGGCAATGGTACGGCCGTGTTGCCCACGGCTGCCAACTGGCTGGAGCTGGAGGTGGAGTTCGATATGCCCGATGCTGTGGTCCCCTCCAGCGGTGTCTTCAACGTCAAACTGCTGCGCGCCGGCAAATGTGGCCTGGGTCTCAGTGTCAGCGGTTCGAGTGCCGGTCTGGTTATATCCGATGTGAAAATGGGTAGTCCGGCACATCGTTGCGGCTCGCTGCGACCGGGCGATATACTGCTCGCTGTCGATCAGCATCCCGTGCAGCACTTCAATGTGGATGCCCTGCTCAAGGAGCTGCCCGCACAGAACCAAGCAGCAGCAGCACAAGCAGCAGCAGCAGCAGCATCAGTTGGCAACACATCATCGAATGCGGACTTCACCACACTGACCATCAAGCGAGTGGTGCTGCCCGATTTTCTGCCCAGTCCCATTTACAGCAATTGCAATTATAATGATTGCATCTCGCTCAAGTCGAGCACCCCACAGCCGGACTACTTTCGCGCACCGAGTCTCGATGAGACGGGCAGTCTGCAGTCCGTACAGCTGCGACATCCGCCACAGTCGCAGCCACAGCCACAGCCGAATGGTATCTGGCCACCGGCGGCCAATGGCTGCTCGACAAGTCGATCCTTTGTTGGGGCAGCAAACACACAGAGTCTGACCACCGAGCTGCCCGAGGAGGACGACGAACTGGATGAGGAACGTCGTGAAACGCATCCATATGGTGGCTACGAGCTGAATCGATATGCTAGGTAAGTGATTGACTGATTGACCGATTGATTGATTGATTGAACGAGGCATTTGATTGTTTGCAGCGTGGACTGCACAGCATTGCCGCCGCCAATGGAGAGCAAGGTGTACGGCTCGGCAGCCAGTTCGAGCAGCAAGAGTAGCGGGAGCAGCCTGCATCAGATCATCTTCACGGTGCACCTGATGCCAATGGGCGGATTGCTGGGCATAACCCTGGCCGGCAGTGAGGATATAACCAAGCCGATTACCATTAGCGCCATCGTCGAGGGTGAGTCTGCTCGAGCCAAATATATCTCTGATACGTTTAATATATGTATATTTTCTTCGTTTTGTGGCAGGCGGCATTGCGCATAAGAATGGACAGATTCGTGTCGGAGATCAGCTGCTGGCGATCGGCGATCATTCGGTGCAGGGCATGTCGCTATCGCATGCCACCACTCTGTTGCACAATCTGAGCAACGTTGTCGATCTGAAAATAATGCGCAGTCACGACACCAGCAACAGTGGTGGCAGCGGCGCCAACTCCAACTTGCCGCAACAGACGCAGGCCATCTATGCGCGGGTGCAGCGGCGTCCTCGCAGTCCGTCGGCCAACACCGAGGCCAGTCTCAACAACAATGCCTCAGATGCACAACAGCAGCAGCAACAGCAGCAGCAGCGCATCTTTCATGTCACACTTTACAAGGATAAGGTGTACGATGATTATGGCTTCTCCGTCTCGGATGGACTCTACGAGCGGGGCGTCTTCATCAATCGCATTCGCAGCGGCGGCCCGGCGGACATGTCCGGTCAGCTAAAGCCCTTCGATCGCATTATGCAGGCAAGTGCCGCAGACATATATTTATCATCAGTAATGAACATATATATATTATATATATTAAATCTATTGATAAATAGAGCAAGAAGATTAACTAACGCATAAAGATCATTATAACTGAAGCAGAATATCCGAAATGGAATAAGGCTAGTTAAGCATAGTTTATATTGCAAGTTTGAAGAGAGAGTGCTAGAAAAGACCCTTTACTCCTAATGGAAACTGCAAAACTAACTTAGCTGTTCAATTTTGATCAATCCATCAACTGAACAATCAATTTTGGCTTATTAGCAAGCATCGTTCTTCGATCAGAAAGAGAGGCAAAATATTAGATAAGTAGATAATCGATTCTAATCGACTCCGTTTTGACAGCCTGCCTTAGACCTTTATATATATGTACATATATAGATTATTAGATTTCATACATATAATTCTTGAATTTATTTTTGGTATTTGCCCCCAGGTCAATGAGATGAAGACGCAGGACTTTGACTGCTGTTTGACGGTGCCGCTGATCGCAGTCGCCGGCGACAAGATCGAGATGATTATGCAGCGCAGCGAGTGAGGCGATCCACAAACCACAATCCACCATCCACGATCCAAATCGAGAATAAAAAAAAAAAATCATTTATATTTCTATTTTATTTTTTTTCATAATCTTTAACTAGTTGTATCTTAAGTATCTTAATGCTAAGTGCCATCTTATCTGTATCTAACTATTGTCCCATTTATGAAATCCTTTGTAATTTCAATCAGATTTGTCTCGCGATTTGCCTTAACTAATTTTAACGACAATAAGTTATGCCAAGTGCCTGCAACTTTTTTAAAAAATTTTTTTTTTAATATTACTTAATATACATTAATATGCCATCGATCATAACCAAAAATAAATAATTGTGCAAAACGAGTTTCATATTTAAACTGTTGCTCCATACAAGCATAATGCATAATTATACAATTATTTTGTTTTATTTTATACGAGTATATAAAAAAAATATTAAAAAAATAAAATGAAATTTACCTAAATACTGCTTTTGAAATCTCATTTGTTGGCTTTATGGATCTACTTAAACCGGGACCGTAAATTGGGACCGTAAGCTTTACCGATTGGAATTCAGAATCTAATCTCTAATTTATTATGTTTTTTTAAACTTAAGTCTTTAAGTCTATGAGGTGATAATTTACTATTAGTTTACCTATTTATTTATTATTTTCATGAATTACTTCAATGCATTTGTTTTTCAGCGAAATCGGTAAAAACACTTATATTCCCAGATCGGTTGTTTTCATACCCGATTAATCAATCTGTATGCAAATTGTGTTGTGAACGTACTAAGATTATTTTTTGTTGTGTTAAACTATAGTTATAGCACACTTATTTCAGAAGGAATTATCACCTTGTGGGGTTCATTTGCTGACGTTTTTTCAATGATGCACTTTGAGTTTTTATAATAAACAAACAAACAAACAACAACAACAATAAAAAAAAAACAAATAGATCCAGAATTAAAAAAATACTCTGCTGCACTGATTATCGATGCGATGCGTATTCTCTCGAAAACAAATCAAAATCCAATAATAATAAAACGTAACACATTGAATAAGCGCAATTTAAATGTAAGCGTGTTGTTCAATAATAATAATAATTTTTATACCCTATTTTATGTACATATGGATTTCTTGACTTTGATGTAGAACTCTTTTCTTCTCTTTATTTAATAGATAGAAAATGGAAAATTAAATTATCTAAATCTGTTGTAAATCAATCAAAATACAAAAAAAATCAAAATTTCCTAGTGCTCAAATTCCAGAAGATGTAACTAAAGATAATCTCCAAACAGGGCTATTATTACAACAATTAAAAATAACTTCACGAAAAGTGGCTAGGAGAAACCTTGTAAGCCTTGGGCTATTACTAAAGATACACAGATCTTCAAACAGGGCTATTGCCAATGATATTCTGTAATAGGTCGGCCTACAGAGCATCTTCAGTTCGATTTTCTGAAATGTGAGCTTTAAGAAATCAATAAAGCGATCAAATATGTTTGTTCTTTTATATAAATAAACATATAATTGATTCGCTTTACACAGACCCCAAATCAAAAACTAACCTCGTCACACAAAAAACTATTTTAAAATCCATTGATTGAGGGATGGAGGGCGGGAGGGAGGGAGAGATGGATGAGTAAATCAGAGACGAGCTAAGAAAAACAAAGGGAAAATACGACGAACAGCACTAAGAAGAAGAGTAATAATTATTGTTATTAAATGATAAGGCAGCTGAGCTGGTTTATTCTGGGCGATCTGGTCCAGCGGATCACCACTGGCAGCCAATTGACGTCAATGGCGCAAAATTGAAATCCTGTTGGCGACAAATCGACCCAGCCGGTAAACACCTTTGCCGATGGACTTTGGATCCCGAATCCGCAATGCTGATACGGCAGCTGTAAACAACCCCAACGCCCCCTCATCTATATATATATATATGTATATATATATATATATATATATATATTTGTGTGTGTGTGAGAGTTTGGCAGGCTTGTCGGGCAGAGAGCTTGACACAGTTTCTATTTAAGTTTCGTCGATTCAAGCACCGCTTATCTCTTAAAAACAGTACAGTCATCTCTCTTCCTATGCGAAAGCCTTTCTACACTAGTAAAAAAAAAATAAATAGCAACAGTCAGAAATTATTTGTCGTTTCTTAGAAATCATATTTAATTGATGAAAAGGGAAAATATTAAGATCTTAAAATAAGTTGTTATATGCCATACAAAATTCGAAAAACAAACAAAAAGTAGAATGTTATTTTTTCTGAGTGCAGTCTTTTGCTCTTTTACTTCCACTCTTTCTCTCTCTTTCTGTAAACTTCATATGGCAGCAAGAGCTTTGAAGCTTTACTTCATAGGCAGCGCGTGCTTTGGACCTCTAGCGGCGCAGCGAGTTTGATCTCCGACGCGTTATCATGTTTAAAGTGCATCTGCCGCCGACGACACGACGACGTTTGTTGTACTTTGCATCTGTTGATTCGGAGGGGGTGGGGGCAAAAGCTTATCTTAGTGCCGTTATACCCCGCTCAACAGAAGCAGCAGCCGCAGCAGCAGCGACGTCGACAGCGAGGCCGAAGCTCAAGTTTGTCAAGGCATACAAATTGCGTGGCTCGCAGCTGATCGGCTTCAGTGCGCAGACTAACGTCGAATGCGAAGCACGACGATCAAAGATTGGCAAATAACGATTTACCGTTTACCAAGAACTAGCAAATTGATCCATCGAAAAATAATAATAGGCAAATCAAAGACAGAGTGAAAAAAGAGTGTGAGCGCGAAGAGGAGACAGCTGCGTGACTTAAAAGCCGATAAGATTAATTTAATTAAAAACGTGAACTAAATTGTCTTCTGACAAAAAAGTTCAAATTGACTAAAGACAAAAAAAAAAAAAAACTCTGACGTGTTTCTACCTAAAATGTAGACAGACTGCAACAAAAACAACAACAAAAAGTGAATTTAAACAAGTGTGTAATAATTAAGAGCAGAACAGGAAAACTTCTGTTGCAAGATCAAGATGTATGTGGCAAACACGACTGGCGGCTTAATGCTGCAAACGATGCTCTATTTGGCAAATCACACAAGTCGTGCGGCAGTCAACACATTAATCGATCTGCCACCGGCGCCCAAAAGTGGTAAGTGCTCTTAGCCAGGCAAGCAAATTAAACCACACCTTAGGCAGTCTAAACAGTATAATATATATCTATATATGTATATTTGATCAGTATACAGTTGAGAAAAAATAATAGCACCATCCTATTATATTTGTAAGTTTAAGGAACTTTTATTAAGAAAAAGAGAAAAGGACAAAGCTAAAAGAAAAACCAACAATATTATTAACTGATCTCTTTGTTGCACAAGGCAGAAACCTCAAATTGTTGCTTGTGCTTCGACTTGAAGTACTACATAAAACATATACTATGCATATATATAATGGAGTGTTGTCTATGAGATATAGTCATATCTGTAATAAACACATAGACTGTACGCCCTTGTTGAGTAATACCCATTATATTATTGAAGTGCAGTTGAAAGTGATATAGCACCTTTGATAAACCTTATAAATATTTTTTTCAAGTGTCTATTTCTATACTCGACTTTATATACCCTGCACTCGCAGAAAAGAATGACTTTATTCGTTGAACTACAAGTTGTAATCATTCATGGATTACATTGAATATCTATATTCAAGTCTTCTATCTTTAGTCTATTTGAGTATGCAGCTTATAAATATCTGACTATATTCAAGTAATGTATACATAGTCAATTTAAGTATGCAGAGTAAATACCAGTCTGTGATCTTAGTCCCGGATACAGGGTATTTTTATAGTCGCGAATTTCTCAAGTATGCAAACTGCTTGTAAGTAAATCAATAGGAAGAAGACGAAGAAGCAAAAGTGAGTTAAACTGAAAGTTGCTTGACTTTTGTAAACAGACAAACAGAAACAAAACAGAAGACGAAGATGAGACAGAGAAGTTGAAATTCTGTTTCTTTGGCTGTTTTTTTTTGAAGGTGGGGGAAGCTTTTAGCTGTATATGAGAAAAAGCTCAAGTCGAAAGCGGAAAAACTGCAACGACAATCATTAACTATAGACATATATATTTAAATATCTTATGTATATATGAAGGGGTCGAGAGCACACATGCCTATCTAATAGAAAACTTCCGATATAAATATAAATAACAACAACAACAATGACGACAAACGTTTTTAGCATTCGATTTGAACGGATTTTGATTGGCACGCAACGCTGATCAGTCAATCGGCTAAAAAGCCGAAGGCCACCGACCCGAAGGAGTCCGTCCAATGTGACCAATGAGAATATTTGCGTGCACTTCTCAGCTGCTGCTTCCGTTACTTTTGTTGTTGTTTGCGGTTGTGGTCGAGCAAACAGTATTTATTCAATGACATTTGCAAGCAGTGGCTAGCAGCAGTCGAACAGTAAATATTTATTGGTCTTGTAATACCATCGAGACAGTCAATGTTATAATTGAAATCCAACTGATTCGAGAGACCTTGGTTAACATAACAAATATTTAATGTTAATGTTAGCATCATAACATAACCCAGGTAGATGGTAGTGTGTGCTGTAACAGCCGATTAGCAGCACGCACTGCTGTTAATTACAGACCATATATTAGATTACAGCTTTATTCTCTTCTAGTGTTAATGTTGAGTTGTTTAACAGCTGCTCGACATGACGTACTTAAGTTAATTGCTGCTGCTGCGCTAACAGCTTCTAATATATGTCAGCTATGTTAAAAAATATTCTGACAACTTTCCCAGCTCATTAACAGGACTATGATTCGTTGTTAATAGAACCAGTTTTCAAGTGGGTCTTTTAGTATTCTTAACTTAAGCCAGAGTTGGTTAACATGAGTAATCTATGTTAATAACTCGCACAGCTCTGTTAAGAGCATTCTCCCTTTTTTAGATGACAATTTGTATGGATTTTAATTGAAATTATTGCGATTCCCTTACAGATATCAATGAAGTGAAATGCTTTGGTGTCTACGGCTGTTTCCCCATCAACGGGCCGTGGAACACAGTGACGCGGACGATAAGTGTGCATCCGCAGAAGCCGTCGGAGATTGAGCCCCATTTTACGCTGCACACGAAAAGCTCGCTGGATCAGCCTAAGTACATCGATCTCAATGATCCGGATGCTGTGCAGGGATTGGCCATCAGTCGACGGGCCAAGATATATTTAATTGTACATGGGTATCTGGAGTCGGGTACCATGCCCTGGATGCTGGAAATGGCTGAGGCACTGCTCACCCATTGTCCGGCCGAGGATGAGTGCGCCGTAATCCTGGTTGATTGGGGCGGCGGATCGAGTCCGCCATATGTCCAGGCCGTGGCGAATATACGCCTGGTGGGAGCGATAACAGCGCATGTGATCCACCTGCTCTACGAGGAACTGCGTCTGCCCAATCTGGACAATGTCCACATCATCGGGCACTCCCTGGGCGCTCATCTCTCCGGCTATGCGGGCACCCACCTACAGCGTGACTTTGGCCTCAAATTGGGACGCATTTCCGGCCTGGATCCGGCTGCACCACTCTTCACGGACACCGATCCGATTGTGAGACTGGATCGCTCCGATGCCCACTTTGTGGATGTGATCCACACGGATGCGAATCCGCTGATGAAGGGCGGACTGGGCATCATTCAGCGCTTGGGCCACGTCGACTTCTATCCGAATGGTGGCTTCGACAATCCCGGCTGCGACAAGAAGCTGCAGGACGTGATGAAGAGCAACCGCAAGGCGACACTCTTCACCACCATGCAGGAGTTCCTCGGCTGCAATCACATTCGCAGCGAGCAATACTACACGGAGACTATCGTCGGCGGGAAGTGTCCTTTTCTGGGCATCAGCTGTGACTCCTTCGATGTAAGTAGCTTCCGCTTCCTTACTTCTTGTTGCCCCCTTCTCCTGCTTACTCCTACTTAAGTCACCTTCCTCCTTTCTTCTCAATTTTGAAGCTAATCTCTCTCTTATCTTTCTCTCTTTCCCTGTAGAGCTTTAAGGATGTCAAGTGCGGAAGCTGCGAGGAGCCGGGAAGTATCTGCATGCGCATGGGTTTCCACAGCGAGCAGGATTATCGCAAGCATCTGGCGAGGGGTGTGGTCAAATCGGAGGATGCCCCGCCAGTCTTCTATCTGATGACGGGCGATCGCAAACCCTTCTGCCGTCAGCACTACAAGATCACCGTGCGTGTCTCCAGTCACGACGAGAGCAATCTCCATGGCGGCGAGGTGGGCACCCTCTCCATTCGCCTGCACGAGGATCACAAGCGGATTGGGAATGGGAACAACAACAAGCGGAGCACGGAACGCATGAAATTCTCGCCGAAGGCCATGTACTTTGAGCCGGGCTTTGAGTATACATCGCTGGTGCCTGGCCGGGATCTGCATGAGCCGGGACATGCGACAGTCTTCTGGGAATATCAGACGAATATTCTGAATCCGTTGACGTGGCGCATTCTCTCCTCGCCGCGCATCTATCTGGAGTATATTCTGATCGAGTCGCTGGAGTCGAGTGATTTGTATTTGAAGCTGTGTCCGCTGCACGAGGGCGCCATTCTCTCCGGTGCGGAAAATGTGCTGCACACCAAATATTGCAAGGATTGAACATTTAGCCAATTTCACAACCATTTCGCCAGCACATAACCGAACCGGAAAGCTCTCTGTCGCGCTCAAAAGCAGGCAATAGTTTTTTCAGTCATAGCGCAGCTTACAACCATCCAATCGACATGTGTGTGTCTTTGCTAGCTGCCAGCAAACTGTTCCCATTGTTTAGTGCGGACACACACCCGACGCACACAACCAAGCAAAAAAAATCAAAGGAATTTTGTATTTTTTGATAGTATTTTGATTATCGCATAAGTTATTTGAAATTATTAATTTGAAACGGAGGCGGAGGAGCACAAAGTTATTAATCTATCTATTTATGATTAAGCACTAAATCTAACTGTTATTTATACTACAATTTTTGTTGTGTTTTTTTTTTCTTAGCCTACTTAATTAGCGTATTTATGAATAAAAAGTAAAGAAACGATATGCATTTTTTTAACTCGACTACAACAGGGGGAAATACATAAATATTCATATTAAATTAAATATGGATATTAAATAGAATATTGACACTTTGGGTACAACATACAAACTCACTTCCTAAATATTGAAATTATATAAAAAAATGAAAAAATGAAATTATATAAAATTAATCGATCGCCTCTTAAAGCTCGAATGAAAATTATAGAAATTATAGCGAAATTAGATATAAATAGAAGATTCCTTGTTTTAGGTTTAAAGATAAGAAAAAATTCATTCACTTCAACTTAAAGTGATGTCTCTCCCTCTCTCTCTCTCTCTCTCTCTCTGACTCTCTTTATCTATCTGTCTCTCTCTGTTTAGTGTTATGGGTGTGTGTGGCAACAGCGACAACAACAACAACAACAAGTGACATATTTGTGGGCCACAATTCGATATCGATTAACATTATTAATGAATATTAAAAGACAACTTCTAAAATGCTGCTCGAAACCACAAAAATCGAATGAATTTGACAAAAAACTACAACAAAAATAAAAATACAAAAAAAAAATGAAGAAAAAAAAGGTTTTCTGAAAGAGTTCAAAATTTCCAAGAAATTGTCGCAGCAGCAGATTGTCAACATAATCATCATCGAAAAAGGGGAGGGGCAGAGGGGATTGCAACCACAAGAAAGACAACGGACAGCAGAATCTCGAGAACCTGTGGAATGTTCAAAGCAACAACAACAAAAACAACACACAAACGAAAGCAGAACAAAAAAGAAAACAAAAAAAGAGAAGAGACAAAAAGAAGTCAAATGAAATGCAGATAATATCAATTATATGTAAAAGATACACCAAACAACACATGCGATCCGATCCGATCCAATCCGATGCGATGCAATAGATACACTCGACCAGATAAGCATTTAAATTATTAACAACAACAGCAACAACAACAACACGAAGAAGAAGATGAACCCAGCCAATCTGTTAAAAGGATCCATAACATGAAATTTATATTTGTTTTGCGTATAATTTTCATTAGAATCGGCAACTGATTCAAATCATCTCTCGAAAGGTACTCACTTGTTTCTCATTCATGTATTCATCATTCATCCAAATATTTAATAATAAATATATAGATATTTAATATATTTCAAATAAAAGTATTTACAATTGCAATTCCAAATTTTAATTGGGAAAAATTTCGATTTTCGGTTTCGGTTTGATAACCTTTTCAGGATGCCGAATCGAATTCCTTTCCAGTTCCGGTTCCGGTTCCGAATTGAATTGGTCTCACAATTTGATTTTCGCTTTCAGTTCTGAATTTCAATTATTAAAGTTCCAAACACAAATTTGCCAACCAAAAATGATTCATTCATCCCAAAATGAATCACAATATCTCTGCCAAAGTTGACAGAATAACAAATGAAACCACAGAATAATAAGAAATTCGAATAAAATGAGAAAAAAACTAATATTTATATAAAAAAAATACTAAAGATAAGTAAACATTAAAAGTTGGCATAGTTATAAAATGATTAAGAACAAAAATGAAAGTCTTTCCATTGATCGCAAATAATAATGAAGTTTTCTTAGTTTTCCCGGGGGTTAAATAATAATTCTAAGACCCAGATATAAAATGGGTGGATTGTATTGTATTGTATCACGTTTAGTATTTGGAAATGCATAGTATTGTAAGTCAATCCCAGATGAGGAGAGAGATGATTCCAGATTCCAGATGAGAAACCAATCATTTTTCTTCATATTGAAGATTTTGAAGAGGTCTCGATTAGCAGCACTGCTTGCCACGCCCCATTGTCATATTATGCTTAAATGCTTTAAGAATATATATGTATATTATATCAATATATGTATAAAAATTAATAATAATTGGCCTGTCTGTAAGTTCGTCTGGCTTCGTGGGAGTCTGCTTTGTGCTTGACTCCAGCATGCTTTAGCTTTAGTCTCATCATTTTCTTACTGTGTATTAACCCACTCACACTGCAATTAGCAATTTGAATACGTTTTTTTGAATTTATTTTTCCTCTCAATCCTGTCGCTTTTAAATTGTGTGCAGCTGGCGTTTGCAGGCAGGCAGCTTCCGACTCTCATCTTAATTAGTTGAGTTCACCTAGCATACTCCTAACCCCTGCCTAACTCCTAGTCCCCTGCCCCTCCCCCATCCCTCTGCTCCATGAGCATAAATCAGCGTCTGGCTACTTTGTCTCCTCTCTTTTTTTCTCTAGGTTTTTTAGCGCCGGCTGAGCGACATCAAATGCAAACTGAAATCAAAATGTCATAACTTCCACTCGGCGACACAAGCGACAATACGTCAACATGTCAGTGCAACACACACACACACACATACACATACACACCTCCACCCCTGTTCCCCTCAACCCCTTTTGGCAGCACGTTTAATTAGTCACCTCCCCGCCTCCATTAAATTTAACTTTAACTTTTAACGTCGGCGTCGCAAACAAATCACATAATTATGATTGAGCGCAGCCAACGCTAGCTAAAAACCCCCCTCACCCCATCGCCACCCCCTAATCCCCCTTTCTGCACTCCTTTCAAACCACCCCCCCCATTCCTCCCGCACCACCTCTCGCTTGTGGCGCATTTTGGGGCTTCGTTTATGGGCGTTTGTCTAAAAATAAATGTGTCCGGCTCACAGCTGCCGTAATTGAATGCAAATGCCTATCCCAAAAAAAAAAAAAAATATATATATATATGTGTGGTATCTATATAGGAGCAAAACTCACCCCCCCCTCCCCCCTCCCCCCTTGCAATCCCAAATCTCTGTGCCCGTCCCAAAAGAGGCGACAATCTGCTATAAATTATCGTGTGTAGGTGCCATCCACCTCCCCCTCCCCCGCCGCCCTGCCACGCCCCTGCTGCTGTATGCTCCATTGTGTTTGCTGACGATGCGTGGAAAACTAATTTTCCTCTACGCCCCCCACATCCCCCCTACTCCCGGGCAGCTTCACTTCACTTCACTGCTGCCTTTCCTTTTTCCTGTGTCATTTTTTTTTTTGATATTCATAATTTGTGGCGTGTGGCGGCTGGCGACGTACTCGACTCCTTGTGGCATGTTGTTAAATTGCACCACGTGTTTTTGATAATGACAACATAATTATTATGCCAGCCCCCATTCCCCCCCCCCCCCACCGCTCCCTTCTCTCATTCCCTAAAAAACAGACAGCTCTCGAGCAGTTTTCGTATTTTTATTCATTTTTATGTATTTTTTAATATTATTTTTCTTATAAATTTGGACACGGAAAAAATGAGTATTTTCTCTTTTTTTTTGGCAAAAAAACATTTATATTATTATTGTATTTTTTCATATTTTTCTACTTCTGTCTTTTTGCCAATTGCGGGGAAATGAAATCAAAACAAAAATCAAAGTAAGAAAAATGCCTAAAATGTGTTTGACATAGAAAAACATATGCACAATTTTATGATACCCTTTGCATTCACTTTATATGGGAAGGGGGTATATCGTTTAACTCAATTGAGAAGAATCTTTGCACATTTTAGCAAAGTGTAAAAAACAAAGGCTCTTTAAGCTGTGCATTTTGTAATGATTTCAATTTGTAAATAGTTTTATACAAAGATTAACAGCGAGCTTAACATAGTTATGAATGTTATTCAACAGCTGTTAACTAAACATTCACCAGAAATGACTTTAGAAGGCTTTCGAGCAGAGAGAGAGAGAGAGAGAGAGAGAGATAGTTAGGAAGGGTTGTGTATTGCGTAGGGGGAAGAGAAGGGAAGGGGTGGAGGGAGGGGGGTGGGGCATGTGTCAGTCGCAGAGGCAAACAAATGAGATGACAAACATATAATGCAAGAGGTAAATAATCATACAAAGCAAGCGCTTGCGGTCATTTAGAGCACTAATTTAAATATCATTAGTAAACAATTAAAACAAAAGGAAAACAAGAAAGGAAAAACAACAAACGAAAGGGATGAGGATGAATATGTGGAGCCGGAGGAGGCGGAGAAGGAGAGGACGAGACGAGGACTTTAACAATGCGGCATTATCGCAAGCCGCCTGTCAACGCGCGCGCCACGCCCACAGACTTAAGAGTGGAAGGGGGAGGGTAGGGGGTGGGGTAGCTTACATAAATGTCAAAGCAGCAAACAGAATAATGGCAAAGGCGAACTGAGAACTGAGCGAACTAAGAACTAAGCCCGAACAGAAATCAAAGGGCGACTTTGACTTGTTTTGCTTGTTTTGCTTTTGTTGGCTTTACGCAAAGTTTTGACAGCTAACCGAAAACGGAAAACCGACAAAAGGATTGCGCTGAGGTAAAATAGGGAAAGGATTTCGGGGTGAGGGGGTGAAATTTACGTCCTTTAGCCTTTATAATTGCAATGCACTGCCATAAAATAAATCGTAATAATAGAAATGATAATAATAATAATAAATTGGTAAACATTTATAGAAAATTTTATTATAATATATAAAGTACAAAAATGCTCACTCATATTTTGTGATGATGTCTTGTAACTCGCAGAGGAAAGCATCTATGACCCTATAAAGTATATATATTCGTGATCAGCAACAATATGCATATATATATATATATATATCTATATATATGTGTGTGTGTATGCGGATAAACGTGCCTTATCAGTTGAAGGGGCGCACAGCCTGCGGCAATTCACATGACGGACACGTGCCGCGCTGCCCCCAAACCCAACCACATCTTGGAAAGCAGCAATCCCCACCCCAAGGCCCGCCTCCGCCTCCACCTCAGGCTTCGTCTTGACTAAGTGCGCAACCAGCAAGCAGCAACCAGCAAGCAGCAAGCAGCAAAAACAACAACAACCGCAAGTCACCTGATGATGCTTTTCCCATGCCAAACTGCTGCCACGCCTCACCCCACACCCCGCACCCCTTCCCGCCCACCCCTCACATGCCTAAGCAGATGGGCGGGTGTGCTGTTATAATGGCATGAATTACCCAACGATGGTAGGGGTAGTCCGTGTTGCTTGGAGTTAGGTGGCAGGGGAGGGGTGGCAGGGGGGGGAGGTAGAGGGGGTACACACATTTGATTGTAATATGATCCTGCGTGCTCGAGCATAATTTGTTATTTTGGCTATCGCATTGTGCTACCTCTGCAGACCAACAAACACTATGCCACCACACAACCCCCACCCCCAACCGCTCCCGCACCAGCAACCCCCTCCCTCTCCTGCTGCTGGTTTTTTCTGTTTATGCTACGCAGTTTGTTGTACAGTAGTCTCTCGCCACTTACAACTAGCAGCAAATGGTGAAATTATTTTTAGGCTTTTATTTATATTTATTTTATATATTTAATAAATTAGATATGACAACAAATTATGAATTTAACCCAATTTTCCCTCTGCGACTCTTAATTAGTATAGATTAAGTGAAGTCCTTAAAAATAATTGAGCATAAATATTTATAAAGAAATTACACCTAGAAACGTGTGGAAACCTTTAGCGAGCGACCACTGTAACAACATATGTATATGAAAATGGATTTCTCTGTTGTCTCTTAACATTACAGCGGAACGAAATATCCTTTGTCAGCAAAAAAAAAAAACAGAAAAAAAACAAAAAAACATCAACGAAAAATATCGATTACATTCGCTGAAAACTTTTTGTCTGTATTCCGCTACAACAACAACAACAACAGCAACAAAAAGAACAGCAACAAGCTGAACACGAAGAAGAAGAAGAAGAAAGAGAAGGCGAATAAGTCGAAGAAGAAGAAGAAGAAGAAGAGCGCCTTGGAGCCCCGAAAACCATAACCATAAATAAGGGTAATAAAATTGATGCTCAGTTGTCGCTGCAGCTGTCCTGACTAAGAGCAACAAATAAATTTTTCTTCGTTTTCATTCTTTCTTTCTCTTTTGTTGCTCTTTCTCTCTCTCTCTCTCTCTGTTTTTGGCGATCTGTGAATGTTAAATACTCATAACAGTAACTCACCAACCAACATACCCCAATCGCATCCAATCGGAAGAGCTACCAACTCTTTTTTAATGAGCCCAACTCTGATCGCAAATCGGGTTTTTAGATTGGCAAAAGCAAATGCACTCCAAACTCGGCCAAATCGAAATATATATAATAAAGTATATAATCAGCATCATTTAAACAGCACATCAAAATTTAGCTCTTAAAAATATATATAAATATAAAAATCATAAAAGATTTCATTAAGAAAACCCAAATAAAGAACAAAACATTTATTAGATTTATACATAGTGATTATGTTGCTAATTGCCTTGAGCTATTTTCGAATTTATTGCATATTCAAGCAATTCCAATACAACATTTCATAGATCGGAAAAAACATATAACTAACATTGGTTGTATTGTATTATTTTAAACATAATAAAAAAAAAGGAAGACAAGATAAGTATTTCAATTGTGTTCAGTTACAAAAAGTGTGTTCAGTGTGTATTTGGATGTATTTGTATGTGTATTTGTAAGGTATGTATGTAAATACTGGGTATTTACTGTTGGGCTATTTACTACTTACAACGGAGTACACTGTACACTGAGTAAGTACTCAATTTTCGATAATAAGCGCGATTTTCAATCACACTTCAGCCCACTTGCAAAAGGCGACCCGACAAAATGCTCTTTTTTCTCTACTTTTCCTTTTTTCTTCCACTTTTTGTTGGTGTTTTTTTGTTGTTTGTTTTTTTTTGCTTTGTTTGGATTTTGGCTTTGTTTTCGCTGCCTGTCATTGTTTTGGGCCATCAGGCGAAAGATTGTTATTAAAAACAATATTCGCCGGGGATAAGCAGCCAGCCAGCCATGCATTGGGCATGCCAAATGCCAAATGGCAAATGGCAGCAGCAGCAGCAGCAACAACAACAACAGCAACAACAACAACAATAACAACAAGAGGCAAGCAGCAGCAGGCAAAGGGATGAGGAGTGAGGGGGGCAAATGTGCGGCTTATCTCGCATCTTTGCATTAACACTTCGCATGCCGCTGCTTGCCATTGTTGCGGCTACACTTGGAGAAATACATACATGCATAACATGCCCACAAATTTAGAAACGTCGCCCTCTAAGAAAAACTAGATATAGTTTTTGATTTTTAACAGTAATTTTCCGATTTGCGAAACACATTCCAGCTTTATATCTGAGTGTGCGCAAATTTCTTAAAATTATAAATTAAAATTTGTTTAATCATTCATTTACTGCTAGTTTTCAGTTATACTTTCATTAAAAAAATTCTTGAAATTCTTAAATATTTCTACACAATTTGATCCTCATACTTTAAACTTGAAATCAAAATCTCAACTAAAAATTTCATCAAAATTGAATTGGGATTTCGATTCTACATTTTAATTGATGGAGTTGCGGTTGTGATGCCAGCATATAATAGGTATATAGAGTCTCTTTCAATCAGTTATATAATGGCTTATTTCCCCCAACTCAAAGTCTCCTAAACTATTCGAGTTTTGTAAACTTTGAAAGCATATCAGAAATGTGGCTTAAAATTTGAATGAATGAATTTGCTGTAAATGAATGTAAATGAATGCATTTTGGCGATTTTCTAAATTCGTGGACATGCATTTTTTTAGTGTATGCACACACACACACACACACACTCGCACACACACTCGCACACACACACTCGCACACACACATACAGATTCGCACATGGCACAAAATGGCAGCTACTCGGGGCATATTCGCTTATCAGATGCAACACAATCAGCTCTGTGCGACAATGAAAATGTAGCAACTTGAATCAAACTCTCTCTCTCGCACTCTCTCTCTCTCTCTCTCTCACACACTCTCTCTCTCTCTCACACTGTCTGTCTCTGTCGCACAATGTGTTAGTTATTTAGTTTACAACTTTTCAAAGGCATTGGCATTGGTGAGCATCTCACGGGTCAATCGCCAGACCTGCTTGGCGGCCTGCTCCAAGGCGCTGGGTGTTTTGCCCTTGAACATGTCGAGGCTGGGCAGGAAGTAGTGGGGACAGCGACGGTATTGCAGACAGGAGATTAGCTGCAGGAATATGCCATTCAAACGGTCCGCAATGCAGCACTCGTCCCACTCAATGTCGCGCGGATGCTTCTCGCACTCGTAGAGCAGCAGATTCTTCAGATGATACGCCTGGATGGGATTGCCGGGCAGTTCCAAGTGACGATCACGCAGCGTCTTCAATATGCTCAGGCAGCGACGACGGCAGCCACCTTTGAAGATGCCCATCAGTTCCCATCATCCTCTCATCTCTCTCTCTCTCTCTCTCTCTTGAGCCCCTTCTTAGTCTCCCGCTCTCTCTCTCTCTCTCTCTCTCTCCCTCTGTGTTTTCTCTTACCTTGCAGCAATCGATTCTCGGCCTCAAAGAAGCTCAGTGTCCAAGCATCGCCCTCCATGCTAGCCGCATTACTGTTCTTGTTCTGCATGATGACGCTCTCCTTGGACAACAGATCGAATCCCTCCGTCTTCACCTCTCCAACGAGATTCGGATGCGGCCAGGGTATATGGGCCAGAGGCCAATGCGCTGCCGAACGTGGCCAAATGCCGGAGCATTTGAATGCCGGCGTTATTTGCACAACATAACGCTCCCGAATGCGCAACTTCACCTCGCTGGTGTCGCCGACCATCTTCACCATGTCCCGATAGATGCACTTGTCGCACGCCTGAGCCACCAGCGTCTGGAATCTGGAGCGTATCTTTCGCGCCGACAAATAACCCGAAGCCGTTATGAACTCCACCCACAACGACATGGATCGCTTGCGTCCATCGCTCAGCTTGAGCACCGCACAGCCCGGCAAGGTGCCATCGTCGACGAAGTTAAAGACACCCATCTGGTTGAGGTAGAGCACGATCTCGAACTCATTCGGCGATATAACCTCAACGCCCTCGAACCTGCAATGGAACGGGGAACAGAGCACAGCGAGAGCATTACTATCATCGATGTTTTCCTAATCGCCAGCTAGATATACACAATATAAAGCGTTATCGATAGGCTAATCCTAAAAGGATCATTTAATCGATCAGCGATTATTCTCGTGACACATAAAGAAATGAAGATTCTGTTCAAAATATAGATTGACTGAGTTTGTTTGCAATACTCCATAATGCCTGGCTAGATGTAGACGAGATAGAATTTCTGATCTTATCCGATTGTTGCTGTATAACATAAGAACACAGGTATCGATAGGATGTTTAATCGATCAACGATAAAAAGAGATTTTAATCAATCCGCGATTATTGCTAAGAAAGCTATTAGAAAAAATGGTAGTCAATCAGTGATTGCTCCCATGGAAGCTATAAGAGTAAATTTGACTGAGTTTAGCTGAGATATCATTAAAAAAAAGAAAGGATTTCAAATCCAGATCTGCCATTTCATAAGGCGAACTTCTTTGGGATATATGAATATTTAAAGTAAATACAATTTGGCAAAAGGTACAAAAATATTATCCGAGCTGGCACTGTTAAAAATCGAATTATATATATATATATATATGTGCACTGCTAGTGTATTGAAATGTATTCCTTTCGATGTACACCTTTGATCTCATTTCGAGACCTTCTCGTGCTCCCCTTGCATCCTCCAACTGGCTGCTCCAATTGGATCTGCGTAATTCGGGCGTCTGACGCCTGTCATCGCAGCACTCACTGTGTGGCCGCCCTCGTATCTGGCTCACAACTGCTAACAGGCCAAGCAACAACAACAACAACTGAGATCCTCAATACGATAAAACATGCAATGTCATTGCTGTCAAGTCATGCTCCTCAGTTCCTGCTCAATATCGATGATTGCTCCTGGGGCACAAAACGTGACACAGCCAAAGTTGCTATATACATGTATATATTTAACTAGATATATATATATATATATTAATTGGATCTTCATTTAGGAATGGATAACACCTTAATTGAAGCTGAGATTGTGTATAATCTTTGCGCAACACGTCTCAAACTGATGTAAGCTCTAAACTATCCTTGGAAGGCTAGCCACTTTGCTATATGCATATGTATATATAAAGAGTTGTTTGAGTTGAGTTCTTTAATTGATATTTCTATGAAAAATTGTATACTGTCTGAAAATATGATCTGTTTGCCGTACATAAATCACAGTAGAGTAAACCATCGATATTTGTCTGATTATCAATAATGCGTTGATCGATTCAACTCACCTGCCATTGCACTCGACCAGGCTGGAAATGAGGCGCGGTTCCTGCAGTTCCACCTCCTTCAGTATGGCCTGGACAATCTTACAGATCTCTCGGATTGCTGTTGCCGTCTTGAAGATGCGAGCTTGGACGCGTTCCGCACAGAAGCGATTCAGCTGGTAAATCATGCTCGTCTGGGCGGCCAACATGTCCGGCGGCACCAGCATAATGCTAACGATGATAGCGTTGATAGCGATGCCTGATTCCCAGCTCAATTCCCAGTTGAAATCCGTATGCGGATCTAGGCGGCAAACTACAAACGTGGACAGACGTCAGGCGTATGCCAATTATTTGAAACTGCAAGCGTTAACCAAAATCGGAAACGGGGTAGTCAGTTAAAGGAGTAGGAGCTGAAGGAGATAAAGGAGATGGCGGAGATGCAGGAGATGCTGGAGAAGGAAGGAGGCACTATATAGGCGACACACAATACACACAGAAGACAAAGGAACAATTCAATTGTGAGTTACGGCTGACAGCCCAAAGTGGCAACAATGGGTTAGCAACAGCCAACTGGAGCACAACGAAATCGCCTCTTTTTTTTCTGTTTTCTGTTTTCAGTTTTCAGTTTCGCGTATCTATCTCTGGAGTGGGATTCATCTGTAGCTGTAGCTGTAGCTGTATCTGTATCTGCTTGCGAAAATCAGGCGGATTAGCAAACGATTGCGATTGCGTTATGCGTTATGCATTATCCGCAAGCCGCGAATCAGACTCGGAGTCCAAGTCCAAGTCGAACTCCAAGTCAAAGTCGAAGTCGGAGCTGGATCTGGAGTTGGAGTCGGAGTCGTGTCTTGTCCTCTTGTCGTGCCGTGCCTGTCGAATGCGATGCCAACAAAACACTCGATACTGCGATTCAAGCGAACAGATACGCAAAAACAAATAAAAAAATAAAAAAGTAAAAACGCTGTCGTCGGCGGCGTCAGAGAGTCAGAGTCGTTGTTGGCGTTGTAAATCTCGCGGATATTTACAGCTTGGATATATAAACCACTCGGCCCCAAACCCAACACAAAAAAAAAAAAGAACACAAAAAAAAAACATAATAAAAAATGCTGCAACTCGTTGCTGACTCTCCTTTTCTCTCGCTCTCTCTCTCTCTCTCTCGCTCTCTCTCTCTCTCTCGCTCTCTCGCTGTCTTGCTCTGTCTTTATCTCTTGCTCTCTCTCGCTCGCTATGTGTATCCGCCATCTCATGAATGGAACTATGAGTATACACCCACAAATGCAGCTGCAGATACAGATACAGCTACTGCCACAGATACACTGTACAAAATTGGACTCTAGGCAACATTTCAAATCCAGCAAGCAAATCAATATTGAGCTTGATTTCTTATTTTTTAGATTTTAGAATATCTTTCTTTCTAGTGTTGTATATTTAATATATTTTTGACTACTCTCAGAAAGTATTTGAGTCACTCAAAACCAGGAATCGGAATCGCAACAATACTAATTGAAATTCAAAACCGGAAACGGTTTTAATCCTTATTATCCTTCCAAATTGAAGTACTTTCGCATAGCATCACCTCGAAAGTGAGCACTATTAACTATTATATCAGCTTACATACAATTTTACATATTTAACTAACAAGTCCATTAAGTTTCAACATTTCAAATTTGTCTTTATTCAATTTTGGGTCTTATTATTATTTACAATATTTAGAAAATGAAGGAAAACCCATTAATTTGATGCATTTAATAATTATATTTATACAAGTTAAGTTAATGTAATTAGAGTTTACCAAACAAAAAGCTGAAAATACTTGACTGTGTAGTTATAGCTGCAGATGCCGCTGCAGATACAGAAAGAGCTGCAGATACTGCATACACTGGATACACTGATATAGCCACAGATACAGATGCAACTGTCAACGTGTCACGTGACAAGTCTCGTGCCAAGCCTTGGCGAAATTCGCACGTAAAAATCGATGAGATACTTGGCTTTTTGTAAATGTATCTGTGAGATACAAAACACATACAAAGCACCAGCAGCACAGGCAGCAGGAATTGCTGACTAATCACGCGCCATGTGAAAGTATCTTTTTCTGTATCTGCTGCTTGTATCTACGTGCGCTCGTCTGTGTGTGTGTGTGTGTGTGTGTGTGTGTGCGAGTCTGCTGTTGTCGGTATCTATGTGAGCGCGCTGCGGCATTGGCTGGAAACAAGCTCCGCCTACAAAACAAAAAAAAAGAGGCACAAAGAGCCGTCGTTGCCGTCGGCCTGTGTCGCTCCGTCGGGCAGTCGCCTCTCGCAAAAAACCGCGGAACACCCTGTGGTGAAATATTTTTTAAAAAAAATATATACACACACATCCAAGTCTAACACTGTGTGTGTGTAAATTTAATTTGTTAAATACATTTTGTGCCAGACGCCGTCGTACACGAATTGTGTGCAATAATTTATCTGAAATGTGCACTCATTTAGCAACGAGCAACGAGCAACCCTCGTCGTCGTCGTCGTCGTCGTCGTCGTCGACGTTGTCGTTGTCGTCCAACAGCGATATCTTTATATCTCACGGATACACGAACACACAAAAGTTTTACATTTCACAGATACTCCACTCGCACAGCGTATGCAGCCAGCTCCACAGATCCACACATTCATAAATATGTCGCCTGGATTAATGTGCCAGTTGGCAATTTTTGACAGCGCTGTGTTCCAGCCAAACGAATGCCGTCCGTAATACCCCCTACCCAACTCTTACTCCTCCTATCTCTCCTACCCCCTCCCAGCCCCGCCCCCTCTTCCCCCTCCTTGCTCCTTCCGCCAACCAACCGCTTAACACCCAGCCTATTGCAGGCATATATTATATATATTTACGTTAATTTTTATACTTATATATTTTATTTAACTTACATACCGTATACACAGAGAGAAATCCTTGTCGAAAAGTCTGTGTTTAAACCTTACTTTAGGCATCATTTTGAACAAGAAGCGAGAATTTTCACTATTTTTTAATCAGAGAGGACATTTTTTTGAACATTCTCATTCTCATTTTTATATTTATTTTTATTTGATTAAGTGTGCCTTAAAATATCATAAGAATCTGAATGGATAGATTTTTCGTGTCACATTAAAAAGATATTCCAAGCATTGAAACAATTTCAGATTTGATGCATTTTTGTAGAATTTATTAACTTTCTTAGAAAACAAATTTAATGCGTGAATCGAATCAAAAAATCTACATTTGACATCGTAACTTTAGCGAATTAAAATTTAGAAGCGGAAACAGATACACAAATTCCATATTTTTTATAGAACCGATACTATATTTCTAACCAAACCAAATACCGAAAACAAATGTGAAGCCAATTCATAAATATTACCGAAACTTGTACACTTTAAATACCGAAACCGGAAGTGAAATTCTATTCGATTTGGCAGTCTGTTTTTCACATTAGCACAGCATAAATCGTCTTCAATTTAGTATTTAAATATAGTTCATACTTAAGTTCAACTAATCTATATTTTAATTGAGTATGACAAAAATCAGAAATAATAAATTTTACATGGCCATTTTTTTGTTTTTTGTTTTTTGCTGTGTATATTTTGGCCAACAATTGCTCTAAACGCCCCCCTAAAACAACACCTCCCATCAGAAACATGAGAGAGAGACAAGTGTTCCGCATTACCATCATCATTGTGGTCCAAGCAGACAGACAGACGGACGGACGGACGGACGGACGGACGGACGGACGGACGGACGGGCAGATAGAGGAGAAATGTGAGGCAGATCAAAGCATTCGTCAAAATTAGTTGTGTTCCTTTCAATTATATGGAAATCTTTTGTATTTGGCACTAATTCAAATTGATGGAAACATAAACAGAAACCAAACAGCACATAAAACATGAAACAAACAAAAATCGGATGATAGCCAAAGAGAAAAAAAAAAAACAATATATATAAATAAAAGAAAAAACATCATGCATATCTAAATATCTTTGAAAAGAAGCTGACAAGTAAACATTTGATTTTGATTTTTTTATAGTCACAATATTATTAATATGCTGTAAATTAAGGTTGATATAAGTGAAATAAATAAATAAATAATATGATAAGCCTGATCGTTATACGTGAACTAAATAATTTAATCTTAACGTTAGTTTCCCTAACTTAAGCAGTCTTTAAACTGACCCATTCTCATTATACATTTGCTTAAGAAAATTGGAATAGTGAATAGAATATGTTAAACACAGGGATTCTAACCGGAAACTGTACCACAATTTTACCAATTGATGTTCAGAAGTGGAGTGAAATTCAATGTCAAAGAGTCAGCTACATTAACCGATGTTATTAGTCGCAGTAGAACCATAACTGAATCAAATAGCGATAAACGCTTCAGTTAGACGAAACCGAACCGGAACCGAAATTCGATTCAGTTTGACAGCCTGGTTCAAGCTCTCAATATGCTAAGCTACTTCTATCTCTTTCTCTTACTGGTTCTCTTTCTCTTTCTTTTCAACTTCAGTTCTATTGTAGAACGTTAGTTTAGCATACCAAATATAACTCAGTAACTAATTGGGTTTATCACCCAAAGCAAAACTTATCAGAGCTCAATTTGTAAATGTTTTGTTTAAGTCAGCAGGCTGGAGTGAGATAGAGATAGAGAGAGAGAGAGAGAGAGAGAGAGAGTATAATCAAAGTTGTCAACGGTATATCAGCCTTGTTCCCTGCCTTCCTCTCTCAACTTCATCTTATTAGACATATATATATATATATATATGCTGTGATTTACGATTGTCTATTGGTTCACAATTTGATTTCATTGGGGAGTGGATCGATCAGTGAAGGATCGCGACCAGGTGGGAGCGGTTCATTTCCAACACCATTTGGCGGGATTTCCACGCGCATAACCAGCAAGCGAGGGAGCGAGAGAGAGCGAGAGAGAGAGAGAGAGAAGAGAAGATGTATTCAGATAGGCGCATATCTGCATAAATTTGAAACAAAGGGCGACACAGACAGGCGGACAGCGGGACAGACATACTGACAGACAGCGAAACAGGCACAAATGGTAAAAAGTGGAAACGAGCATGTACTATAAACTTGTGTGTGTGAGTGTGTGTGTGTGTGTGTGAGTGTGTGTATGTTTTTCCCGTATTTATATATCTCTTAGATCTTGAAGAAATTTGAATATAATTTATGTGCAATCGTCGCGTTTTTCGGTTGGTTTATTTGCTCTACCGGTGATGGTTCTTGGCTCTTGGCTCTTGGCTGTTAGCTGTTGGTTCTTGGTTCTTGGCTCTACCGCCTTCTTGCCCCTTGTCAAAGCCCCTGTCCCCGTATGCGGTACGTACCGTAGTACGGTCTGTTGTCCGGGGTCCGGTTCGGTTCGGTTTCGGCTCTTCGGGTCCCAAATGAAGAACGATCCATCCATCTAAACGTTTGTCACTTGCTGCGTTGTCGCCGCAACGTTTGTCTTTTTGTTCGCTCCGCCAGCTCTGCTCCTTCGTCTCTTTTGTCTTTGCTCTGCTGCCTCTGCCTCTGCTGCTTCTTCTTCTTCTTCTTCATGCTGTTGTTGTTATTATTATTGTTTTAAAAAGCGTCACCGACACCGTCGTCGCCCGCTCCGACGACCATTGACCATCAACGCAGTCGTTTATCTTGTAGATATATCAAACCTGTCCCTCTGTCCCTCTGTCCCTCTGTGTCTCTGTGCCTCTCTGCCTCTGTGTCTGTCCGTCTCTCTGTCTCTCTGTCTATATGTCCAGCTGAGCAGCTCAACTCTCTTTCCCGACTGCCCCAAGTTTCTATGGCAAAGAACAATAACTAAATGCCACATGCAACTAATCCAAGTCTCTCAGCTCAAGCTTTGTATTTATATTCTTTTCCTCTAAGTTGCCTTTGTGCAAATTTGCAAAACCTGAAAGCATTTTGATTATGACAAATATGAATAAAAATTGCATTATCTGAA